CCCTAAACCCTATACCCCAAGTCCTAAACCCCAAACCCTAAACCTTTTGCACTTAAAAAAAAACCTAAACCTTTTATGGTGCTTTATGGGTTTAGGCCTTTGACGTGTGTGTCAGCCCTGAGAGCTGTTGGAAGCCAGGCACTCCCAACAAGAGAGCCCATTTTCAACAGCTTCTAACCGCTGGCTTCGGGTTTGTAGGGTTTAGGGTATAGGGTTTAGGGTTTAGGGTATAGGGTTTAGGGTTTAGGGTATAGGGTTTAGGGTTTAGGGTTTAGGGCTTTGCCAGGCTTCTCTTAGGGGTAAGCTCTACAGTAAACCCTTCACCTGAGAGTCTCACCGGTGGTTCTTACCAAAGAGAATCAATCCATGTAGAGAGTGGCGCAGGATTCGAACCCCTTTACAGTTGTTAAACCCTAAACTCCGCGATAAGCAGATACTACATACACGTACGACTGTCGTTGGCCTTGTTGTGCAGAGTACTCTTCGCCGAAGCAGGGCCTTAATTCGACGGACAGAGTACGAAGAGACTCTGTCCTAGACTCCTAGTCGTTCGCACATCCCTAAACCATAGAGGAGCTTCCTAAACCCTAAACCCTAAACCCTAAACCCTAAACCCTAAACCCTAAACCCTTGCTCTTTTGAAATCTGAAAACATCCAGCGGCCAGTAGATTTCGGCTCCAGGGCTGCGCGCCCTAGGCCAAATTGGGCAAGACGGCAAAGACTGCCCGTCATGTCATGTGGGGATTTCCGAAAATAGGGGACCCTGATATAGTACCCTAAATGGTAGGATCCTTATTATAAGGACCCCAAAATAAGGTACCCCTAATTCTCGGAAACTCTCATGTAAGGAATGGGTCAGAACCTAGTCATAACCCGCCATTTTGTAGAAGGGGTCACTGGTGCATCTGATAGGCTCTTGGCAGCCTTATGCATGAGATTCGGAGCATGTGACCTCGAAGTTACGAATCTGATGCTCCATACAGAGTAAGTGCACAAGATTTCTCAAGAACCAACCTCCTGAACCCTGAACCCTGAGACCTAAACCCCACACCCAAGAACCCCTAAAGCCCCGAAAGCACTAAACCAGTCAAGCTCCAGCTCATGGTAACCCTAAACCCTAAACCCTAAACGCCAAACCCAATAGCACCTCATCCATGGAGCTCGCGCTCGCACTCGAACGACCGACGTCTACATGGGACCTCGGACCTTCCCTGGGCCTTGGGCCTATAGCCAAGAGGTGCCGGGGGTTTAAGTTTAGGGGGTTTAGGGTTTAGGGCCTAAATAATTACGTATAGTATTTTTTTTTGGAAGGGGGGGGGGGGTCCTTATTACAATCATAGTAGAATGAGCCCCAAAGCCCTATTATATAATTATTGAGGCCCCTATATATTAAACAATTAGAGGGTTTGGGGTTGAGGAGTTCGAGCTTCGGGCTTTGGGCTTGGAGTTTAGGGTTTTTAAGTTTAGAGCTTGCTATAGCAAAGGGGCGCAGACTGGCTGATGGCTCTGAGGGCCATCACTTGTCTAAAGCAGGGGGCCTTAACAGTTTCAATAGGATTTCGGGTTGTATTCTAGGAGAAGAGTTATCGTAATAAGGAACCCAAAGGGATAGCTAGGTAGTTACTCAGGCCCCTATTTTTAGATAGTGCCCGGCCAACTAATCATGTGTTGTGTAACTGACCCAGTAGCTCAGTACTCAGCTAGGGTTATCATGCAGCTCGGACCCACGACTTATTCAGTGGGATTGAAGACTTAAGGCTGCGGGCGACAAATGTATGGGTTTTGTTGATTGAGGATTCGCGTGTTGAGAGTCTGCGCTTATGGGTTTAAGTCTTGGACTTTGGATTTATTAAATTTATAGGAACACCGGGTGAAGTCATTCTGCTTTTGAGTTCGGTCAGCACCCAGGCCCTAGGCTTTCAACCCAAACCTTAAACCCTAAACCCT